ATTAAAACACAAATTACAACAGCACCATCTGGCCTACCGCCCCCTGGTGGAGTCGATTGGTTCTGGGGATGTGGACCGTCACCTCACTGGGGGAAGGAGCCTGATCTGGTGGGGTGGTGGAGCAGTTCCAGCAAGATATAGCTGGGCCCACCTCCACGCACAGTAAAGGGTGTGGAACCAAACTCCTGGAGAGGGGTCGGACTCTCTCCTTTTCCTGAGTTGCCCAGTGTGAGAGGCGCCGGGCGGGTGTGGGGATACTCACAAACCCCCGGCTGAGCGCCGCCTTGTTGGAGTTCTCCCCGGAGAACGAGAGGGTTGCTTCTCTGCGACTGTGTGTTGCAGAGGGGAAACTCTGACTGTCGTTTGTGCTCATGCACCAAACAGACCTGGTATACCCAAATGCGTAGTGAGGGTGAACTAGGAATGTCAGGCGGAGGCCCCTGTCCGTGGGGTTTTCAATTTTGGGCTCGACCAGCCAGTCCACATGTGCTTTGTGGATCTGGAGAAGGCCTACGACTGTGTTCCCTGAGGGGCTCTGTGGGGGATACTAAGGGAGTATGGGCTACCAGGCTTTCCACTAAGAGCCATTCGGTCCCTGTACAATGGAAGTGCAAGCAAAGCATTACCAGGGGGAGGGATATCTGGAATGACCTGCTCTGCCTGCTGCCTCCGTGACCCAACCCCGGATAAGCGGAAGAAAATGAATGGATGGGTGGATGGATAATACAATAATGAATATCTATTTGACCCACGACCACTGCTGCACCACTGACTCTGTTACATATGCATAAGTATTAAGGGGCACATGTAATGCAAAATCAGTGTTTTCACTGTTTTTTTTTAACATAATACCATGCCTCCAAGGGACAAGAAACCCTAAAAATAAAAGGAAAGACCATCCTCCCATTTCTGTGCTTTTTCCATCGCCCAAGAAGTATGTGTCTGAATGAGCTTTTCAGTGATGTGAAAACCACATAAGCTTCACCCAGACTGGCTGATGACACAATTTGCACTTATGACCAGTTTCAGTGTTAGAACAATGAGAGATAAATGTTTGAAAACCAATTTGAAACTAACAAACAAGGACTGGGACAGTTATTGTGCTTGTGTACAACCTGAACTCATTTGGTGTCAGTCATATTTGTCACTTCTGCTTCCTTCCTGCTCTCTGTGCTCCCATATACTGTTTTCTTACGGCCAAAGTCCCAAAAAGCTGGTCTTCTGGTTTTCTTTTTATGTTGTCAGAAAACAAAACAAGTATGACATAGCAACAGACACATAGCCCATTAATCAGCAGTCACACTGCAAACACACTCACCATACACATGAGTTGCAACAATGGCCGTGCTGTGAACTTAGCTGTTTTTCCGTGAAAAGTAATCACTGAGCAAGAAAGTTAGATTGGAAAAAAATATTCCATTCACTTAACAGGGGGTGAATCCCAAAATCCACAGTCATGGATTCACAGGGTTGTCCTACTGAATTTCTGCCAACTATCCGCACTTCATATTATTGTGATGTTAAATGCGCAGTTACCAGAAGAAGTCCAGAAGCATTTAAAAACAAAGTAAACCAACTAGTATGGAGGGAGCAAAAAACCATAACAAGAAAAAGTAAGTTTACATATAGGTATAAACAGATCATCAGCTCTTCAGGCAGAACTGCATGCAGTTTTGTCCTATGATGGTGAATTCCACACATGCTGTCCTTTTAGTATCTTGGCTGCGAAGTAAGGAAAAAATGTAAAAATAAAATGTTCTACCAACAATAACATTGAACACATTTGGCCAAGATAATGTGAAAAACTGATGTTCCATTCCTTTATATGGCATTGCATGTTGATAGAGCCTACCATCAATTTGGTCTCTGAGAATTTAGATTCATGAAGTCTTTCTGGGGCAGCAATCTTTGAAGTGTAGGAACCAGGCTTAGAATCTATCTATCTATCTATCTATCTATCTATCTATCTATCTGTCTGTCAGCTGACCACTGGCCTTCTCAGTGTTTTTCTCAAGCCATGACAATAATCAACAAATAATAACCTCAATTGTTGAAGGGTTAGGTGAGCTACCTTCTGAAAACAGTAGCCCGTAGATAGCAGAATGGGAAGCAGAAAGCTTTGAATCCTGAGCCAAAGGCAGATTTAAACATGCAGTCTACATCCAGTGAGTCAGACTACCTTAAACACATGGATACGACCTCTGTGACCTTAGTGAGTATTATGGGATTAATTACACTGGCTTAACGAATATACTTAGGAACTTGATACATGCATACATTAAGTATGAATAAATAGCCTTAAAATACATTTCTTTCTGTGTAACAACTTTATATGGGGATATCGCCAATAAATGTACTGTATACCAGTATTATGATGAAGCCTTTTAAAGTGCCTGAACAATCAATGAAAATAGAAAAGGAATTCTCTCCTAAGCACCATGCGAACAAGCATACCTATGACAATCTGTCCAGTGGTAGTGATGACGATTTAATCTGGGAGACAAACAATTGCACGGTTTGTGCGACATCACTTTCCTTGTTAAAAGTTTCATGGGAGAAATCTGTGACTGTAGTGATATATTCTGTGTGGAAGGAGGGGGAGGGGTTAGCTTTGACGCAAACCAGCAATGAAAAAGTGATTTATTTTAGTTGTGTAAAAGGCACATTTACAGGACAATATCCACAGAGTGTTGTTTCCTCCCAAAAGTCACTGACAGAAGGGTGTTTAGTCTATCATATGAGGAACTTCTGTTACTGACAACTGAAGAAACTGAAAATAAATTAATTTCCTTCTAATCAAATCCCACTTACAGTTACCAACATGCTGCAACCACCCAAGAGTTACAATATGTTCTAACCTAACAAGTGCATACATACAGCACAACAGTTTTGGGGCACAAACATTTTGCAGGAGAACAAGTAAGAATCAGTAAAGGGATAGTACTTTTTAAAGCAATACATCTTTAAACATATCTGACCATTCTAGCTTTGTCCCAGCTGCACACTATATGCGGACTAACTGGAAATAGTTGCAAGCAGAGCAAACTTCCTTGATGTCAGAGAGACGGAGTGGGTGGTGGAAAATTAACGATGAAGCCTTGACCCAATGCAGCAAACTGTGATCACAAACAAGGCCACACTTGCAACAGAGGTACCACACTGTGATCATCAATCTACCACAGTGAATAACAACTATGGAGTCTCTTTAAAGAGGCTAGTTTACCGTGCCTTGGTAAAGTGCTCACCCTCTTTGTGTTTTTCCTGATGTTTTACAACTTGGAATTAAAATAGATTTTTTGGAGAGGTTGCACCTTTTGATTTTTTTCAACATGTCTGTAAGAAGGTGCAACATTTTTAAACTAAACAAAAAAAAAGTGAAACCGTGAGTATGCCTAGGTTTTCACCCCCATAGTGCAAATACTTTACAGAGCCACCTTTTGCTACTTGTCTCTCATGGTAGGTCTCTATTAGTTCAGCACATCTTGCCACTCAGATTTTTGCCTGCTTTCGTCAAGGCAAAACGGCTTCAAGTTGGTTTATGTTGGTATACAGCCAGCTTCAAGTCATGTCACTGGTTCTCTATTGGACTGAGATCTGGCGCTTCACTAGATATTCTCCCAACAGAGGGCAAACTTCAGTCCAGTCTCAAATCTCTGGACTAAATCAGGTTTTCCGCAAGCATTGTCCTGCGTTTAATGCCTTCCATCTTTCCTTCAAACCTGACTATCCCTACTGATGAACAGCATGGCACTTCCACCACCATGTTTCAGTGTGAGAATGATCGAGATAATCCTCGGGGGGATGAGAAGTGTTGGTTTTCTCACATACATACATTATCCCCATGAAACGACCACAACTTCAATTTTAACCTGATGTCAACAGACAGTCCGCTCTGTGCTATGTTGCAACAATTTTCTTTAGGAAATGGCTTTTATTCTATTCTGTCATACAGCCCTGCTCTATGGAGCGTACAGCTTGAAGTGTTTTTGTGGAAAGATGCTCTCATCTCCTCTGTCAATCTTTGTAGCTCCTTTAGTGCATCTTTGGTAAACCTCCTTGCCTGGACTGTGAGTTTTAGTGAGCAGCCTTCTCTTGTCAGGTTTATAGCAGTGCCACATTCTTTCCATTTTGATTGGGAACAAGTGGATGTATATTGACCTTGTGACAGATGAAGCAACACTTTAACTGAAGATGAACCTTAACTGACTAATTAACACGAGTTCTGAAATTAAATGGTTCCACCAGGTCTTATTTAGGGGTTTCACAGCAAAGTGAGTTAATACATATGCACTCACAACTTCTAGATTTTTTTCCATCTTTTTTCATTTCACCATAACAATTTGCAGAATTTTGTTCAGGCCATTACATAAAATCCAAACACAAACCAATTTTAATGCTAGGCTGTAATGCAACAAAACAGGGCAAACACGAGAGGGATGAATTCTTCCACATGGTACTGTGTATTACTTCATTTTTTTTTAAACAAAATCTCAGTCTGCCTAAATTCTAACTGACAAAACTGATGATTTCAGGTACGAATGCGTCG